TGACATCGACCGTCACTTTGCGCGGCAGGCGTGGCACTTGTGGCACTGGACTGGCTCTGGTGGCGCGCTTGGGTCTCCGTTTGGCTCCATTGTCGCCGCGGCTGTTGGCGTGGCAGGCGTGGCACTTGGTGACATCGACCGTCACTTCGCGTGGCAGGCATGGCACTTATGGTACTGGGCTGGCTCCGGTGGCCCGCTTGGGTCTCCGTTTGGCGCCGTTGTCGCCGCGGCTGTTGGTGTAGCAAGCGTGGCACTTGGTGACATCTCCCGTCACTTTGCGTGGCAGGCGTGGCACTTGGTGACATCGACCGTCACCTTGCGTGGCAGGTGTGGCACTTATGGCACTGGCTCTGGTGGCGCGCGTCTCCGTTGGGCGCCGTTGTCGCCGCGGCTGTTGGCGTGGCAGGTGTGGCACTTGGTGACATCGAGTGTCACCTTGCGTGGCAGGCGTGGCACTTGGTGACATCAACAGTCACTTTGCGTGGCAGGCGTGGCACTTGGCGACATGGACCTCCACTTTGCGTGGCAGGCCTGGCACTTGGCGACATGGACCTGCACTTTGCGTGGCAGGCGTGGCACTTGTAAGGTACTGGGCTGGCTCTGATGGCGCGCTTGGTTCCCAGTTGGCGCCGTGGATGCCGCCGCTGTTTGCGTGGCAGGCGTGGCACTTGGTGACATCGAGCGTCGCTTTTGAAAGCAGTAGCCACGGCCAGTCTTCATGACAGTGTCACTGTTTCTTTACAGAAATAACATCAGCTGTTGTGTTTTGTTCTGCCAGGTACCAATTTCATCGCGCATGTGCTATCGTTGCTCATTTCGATCCGAAATCTTGACGATATTCTTTGCTTTTCTGCTTGCTTCCTTTGATCTTTCATGTGGCCAGGTACCTTTCCGTCTTCATCACGCACACGCCGCCCCCTCCACTAGTAAAAACGCAACCCCGCGTGCTTGCGGCCAGCAGCTTCGTTGTTCCACCTTTCGATACATACATACATGCATACATACATACATCCATACATCCATACATCCATACATCCATCCATCCATCCATCCATCCATACATCCATACATACATACATCCATGCATGCATGCATACATACATACATACCATCTTTCTTTGTCACACACCATCTTTCACATACCACTTTGTCACACACAACTGTTTTTACTTCTCGATCCTTCACCACATCCTTTGTCTTTCCTTCCTTCCCCGTCCCGCTACAACATCTGTTGCTCATTATTGGAAGAAGTTGACATGTGGGGTTATCCGGTCCTTTAATGATGTTGTCAACTTCGAAGCTTGAGGAAGTCTCGCAAAATTGTTTCGTTTTTGACATTGTCAAATTCAAAAACTGAGGGGTCTCGCAGAATTGCTGTGGTTTTGATGTTCAAAAACTGAGGAGTCTCGCAGAATTGCTGTGGTTTTGGTGTTCAAAAACTGAGGAGTCTCGCAGAATAGCTTCGTTTTCAAGCTTGCAAATAGTCAGATAGATAGATAGAAGAAAGATAGATTGGTTGATTGATTGATAGACAAACAACAACTACTACTACAACTACGAATCCAAAAATACTACGCTACATTACACTACACTAATTACACTACGCTACACTAATTACATTTAGTTGCGCTACACTACACTAATTACACAAAAACGACAACTACAACGACAACTATACAACGACGACGACGACGACGACGACGACCACAACAACAACAACAACAACTACTACTACTACTGCTACTACTACTACTACTACAACTACAACTACAACAACAACAACTACTACTACTACTACTAATACTACTACTACTACTACTCCTCCTACTCCTACTCCTACTCCTACTCCTACTCCTACTCCTACTCCTACCCCTACTACTGCTACTGCTACTGCTACTGCTACTGCTACTGATTGCTACTGCTACTGATTGCTACTGCTACTGCTACTACTACTGCTACTACTACTACTACTACTTCTTCTACTACTACTACTACTACTCCTACTCCTACTCCTACTCCTACTCCTACCCCTACCCCTACTACTGCTACTGCTACTGCTACTGCTACTGCTACTGCTACTGCTACTGCTACTGCTACTGCTACTGCTACTACTACTACTACTACTATTACTACTACTACTACTAGTACTAGTACTGCTACTACTACTACTACTACGACGACGACCACCACCACCACTACCACCACCACCATCACCACCAATACCAGATTACCACTACCACTACCACTACCACTACCACAGCTACAACCGCAACTGCAACTACACTAGTTACACTACCTTACAACTGCAACTCCACTACACTACAATACAAGTATCTACAACTACATAACTACAACTGCACTGCACCACACTGCATCCAGCAGCTGTGGTGAGGTGACCGCTGCAACAATGGCAACCACTCCAAAAACACAACTCCAACCACCTTTCGGTCCATCTGTGGATTCTCTCTGCCATCCGTGATTCACAACAACCAACCTCTCCTATACGTTTCCTATTTTTGAAGCTTCCGCCACCGCCTTGTGCGTTACTCTGGTAGACTTGTGAGACTTCAGGAAGTGGTGACCTAGGGAAATGGTGACTTGGGACAGTGATGACAAAGGGAAGTGGTGACTTAGGACAGTGGTGACAAAGAGAAGTGGTGACTGAGAAGTGTCTAAGGGAAGTGGTGACAAAGGGAAGTGGTGACTAGGGAAGTTGTGACTTAGGGGAGTGATGGCACAGGGCAGTGGTGACTTTGGGAGGTGGTGACTTTGGGACGTGATGACTAAGGGAAGTGATGACCTAGGGAAGTGGTGGCTTAGGGAAGTGGTGGCCAAGAGAAGCGGTGACTTCGGGAAGTGATGACTTAGGACAGTGGTGACAAAGAGAAGTGGTGACTGAGGGAAGTGTCTAAGGGAAGTGGTGACAAAGGGAAGTGGTGACTAGGGAAGTGGTGACTTAGGGGAGTGATGGCACAGGGCAGTGGTGACTTTGGGAGGTGGTGACTTTGGGACGTGATGACTAAGGGAAGTGATGACCTAGGGAAGTGGTGGCTTAGGGAAGTGGTGGCCAAGAGAAGCGGTGACTTTGGGAAGTGATGACTTAGGGAAGTGGTGACCTAGGGAAGTGGTGACTAAGGGAAGTGATAACAAAGGGAAGTGGTGAGTAAGGGAAGTGGTAACTCTTAGGGAAGTGATGACAAAGCAAAGTGATGACTAAGGGAAATGGTGACTGAGGGAAGTGTCTAAGGGAAGTGGTGACTAAGGGCACTAAGGGAAGTGGTGAGGGAAGCGACTAAGGGAAGTGATTACTTAGGGAAGTGGTGACCCAGGGAAGTGGTGACTCGTGGAAAGCGATGAAGTGACTTAGGGAAGTGGCGATTTAGGGAAGCGATGACAAAGGGAAGTGGTGACTAAGCTACCACTAAGGGAAGTGGCGACTAAGGGAAGTGGGAAGTGGTGACCTAGGGAAGTGGTGACTAAGGGAAGTGGTGACTGACGGAAGTTTTGACTGAGGGAAGTGACTAAGGGAAGTGGTGACTTAGGGAAGTGGTGACTTAGGGAAGTGATGACCCAGGGAAGTGGCGTCTTAGGACAGTGATTACACAGGGGAATGGTGACTAAGGGAAGTGGTGACTTAAGGAAATGATGACACACGGAGATGGTGACCAAGGGAATTGGTGACTTAGGGAAGTGGTCACTAAGGGAGCAGTCCAGTGCTGAAAATGTGCGCCTGCCGCGCGAAACGGAAGTCAATGTCACCGAGCGCTGCGCCTGCCACGCAAAGTGCCGCGGGGCCCCGGGCAAGCAAGGAGACCAAGGCGCGCCACTAAACCCAGCCCAGTGCTGTAAATGCAACGCCTGCGACGCAAAGCGGAGGCCGATGCCACCAAGTGCCACACCTGCCGTGCAAACGGAAACAATGTCACCACCTGCCACGCAAAATGAAGGTCGATGTCACCAAGCGCCACGCCTGCCAGGCGAAACGGAAGTCAATGTCACCGACCCAAGAGCGCCACCAGCCTGCCACGAAAAAAACGGTCGATGTCACCAAGTGCCACGCCTGCCACGCAAAGTGCCACGGCCGCCTGCCACGCGAAAAGGAAGTCAATGCCACCCAGTGCCACGCTTGCCAAGTGCTGTAAATGCTACGTCTGCCACACAAAAGGAAAGTCGATGTCACCAAGCGCCACGCCCGCCATGCAAAACGAAAGTCAATATTATTACCGAGTGCCACGCCTACCAGCCCAGTGCCGCAGGCGCCACCCACGCCTGCCAGGCAAAACGAAGGTCAAGGTGTGTGACAAAGTTGTATGTGAAAGAGCTGCAGGTGAAAGATTGTGTGTGTGCATGAAAGATTGTGTGTGTCTGTGACAAAGTTGTGTGTGTGATAGATTGTGTGACAAAGTTGTATGTGACAAGTTGTATGTGAAAGAGTTGTGCATGAAAGGGTTGTGTGTGAAAGATTGTGTGTGTGTGACAAAGTTGTAGGAACACAAAATTGTGTTCGAAAAATTGTGTGTAACAGAGTTGTATGTGAAAGAGTTGTGGTTGATGCGGAGGAGGCGGCGGCAGGCAGGCGGCGGACGACGGGATAAAGAACCAAAAACAAGAACCCCACAGAAAGATGTGGGAAACAAAGACCGGCACATTTCCCAGCCAAAAAAACCGACACCAAGCGCAACCCAAACACCAGCAGAACTGGCACAATGAATTTAAACAACAAAACTACAAAACCTGTCAACGATACAATACAACCACTACAAGCAGGATATCCAGCTATATCCCAAACACAGCCTCGATCTTTCCCGTCCCCTAAAAAGCAGCAGAACAAGTCCAAAACATCGCAGCATCAAACTGGTCAAACGAGTCTTCATCGACCTTGGTAATTATACCTTTCTGCCTGCTGACTTGGCTGGTATTTTGAAGAGTGGTAAACAGGAAAAAACCGTATGCGCGTTAATTGCGGTATACCAGTGGTGCTTCCATGGCTATTCCCTAGGTCAGGTCACCGTCGCCGTCCCTCCCTTGATGTCCTTCAATTCACGCGTCATTCTTTTCTGCTCGACTGCAGCCTACGAGTGGGAGCAAGCTGAAGTAGTCAAAAAAAAAGCAAGACACACTGACTACGGCCACGTTGGCTCACGACAGTGCACTCGACTCTGGCGCAGACCCTTTGCAAATTTGCATCGAGGGCATCGAGGGAAAAAACGGTTTCAGAATTTTTAGCATTAAGCAAAATACCATCCAGGATCTTGCGTCATTCCGTGGTGGGCTCACTTGCCAACAATTGAGTCTGGGAATTGGCATCACATATTTCGATTTGAATCAATCTTCCGTGCCTCGTGTTTGGCTTTCTGGAGGGCTTGCTGAAGACTTGCCACCTCCAGCTTCTCAGCTTCTACTTCTCTTACCAGCTCCTCAGTCAGTGCTAGTGCTGTTCTACCAGTTTCAAAACGGTCTTCATCCATACGATGTTACATGTTCTTTGACATAAACCATCTACTCAAATCTACATACATGTATGACGTAGTCCTGCGCAAACTAAGGAACATGTTCATCTGCAACTCTGTTGTCCCAGATGTATCCAACTTCAAGCAAGGAAACGAATTCATATTGACCTGGGCAATAAAGATTTTGTTTGCCAAGATTTCCTGTTTTCCTCAGGCATGTATCCATATAAAAAGTTTTACAAGCTGGGCGAAGGAAATTTCGAAAGGGAGGAAGCCTAAGAACGACGCCTGACCGCCTGGCTGTCACGGACGTTGACTCCATGATTTCTTGAAACTCTTTCTGCTTGACATGTCTTTCACTTGACATTCTTGTCTGATAATTGATAATGCAACTTTCTCTTGACCCGGTTTGCCCTTGACATTCTCTGTGCTACAAGACTTGCATGTGTACTTCCCAGCACTACTTTGTACCACAAACCTTGCACAAGGTACTTCCCAGTACTACTTCATACTACAAACCTTGCGCAAAATACTTCCCGGCACTACTTCGTACTACAAAGCTTGCGCAAAGTGCTTTCCAGCACTACTTCGTACAACAAAGCTTGCAAAAAGCACTTCCCAGTACTACTTCGGACTACACAGCTTGCTTGCACAGGGTGCTTCCCGGTACTACTTCCTACTACAAAGCAGCTTGCACAAAGTTCCCCGTACTACTTCGTGCCACAGAGCTTGCACAAAGTACTTCACCTCCTCCACCGGTGATTCAGGTGATGCATGGGTGCGCTTTCAGATCCTCTGCCCGGCAGCCCGCAGGGCCATCAAGAAAATCAAGAAGAAGGTCGATCCGCTGAATGGCAAATGGGTTTGCACGCACTCGGAACCGAAGTTATGGAGGTGCCTTTTGGTATTTCCAGCCAACCAGAGAGTCCAACCAAGATATCAGAAATGACGTGGAAGAAGCCGTTTGGAGCTATGCCAAGGGACTTGCTGGAGATGCCACACCAGCGGTGACCTATGTGAAACAAACAAGGTTCCCCGCCGGATGCACTTTGCGAGAAAACACGTGGGCTTCCATCCCCACTAGCATCCCCGTGAGGAAGCAATTCCACTGCGATCTCCAAACAAAGCCTTGCAAATCACAAAACGACCGTGTCGACCACCACAATCACCCACATGGATGCAACCACCTCCAATTTGCGATCTACACGCCTTTTAGCAAAGAGGACGCCTCTGGGACACTCGATCGCAGCCGCGCCCGTCGCGCAGACAAAGTTCCCACAGCGACGCTGGACTCACTGCGCGAGAAAACATATACATGATTATACAGGGTTTCGTGCGCTTCCATCCCCACCAGCGTCCCCTTGAGGAAGCAATTCCACTGTGATCTGCAAACACGGCCTTGCAAGCTACAACAGAAGTGCGTCGACCACCACGGCAATCACCAACATGGAATAACATGGATGCAGCCATCATTCCAATACAATCCGCACGCCTGTTCAACTTTAGCACAGTCGATCGCACCCGCAATCAGGAGCTGGGCCAAAATCAAAGCAACCCATCAAATGGGGCGATTTCTCCCTTGACCGTCGCAGCCTCACAGTGAAAATCCTTTCATCCACTAACAGCTCGCTGTTTATCTGGCAGCACTGCTGCACGGTGGACAGGGTGATGGCCCCACTCTTGTCAGCAAAATCGACCTGACCGGCGACGGGCCAAGAGATGCAAGCAATAACGATGTATAGTAGCCGTCGACAGCTAATGAATTCCATCACAACCACCACAGATCATTCAACCAGCTTCAACTTCTGAAGCGCAGGCAAAGACAAGTGATATACTGAACCACATGGCTGAAAGGTGAAGATAAATGAGAGAAAGAGCGCTTTGAGAAAACGGGAATGTTACTTGCTGATTTTTTTGCCCGCCCTGCCCCGCCCCCCCATGTCAGCTGAATTTGTTTCCCAAAGGAAACAAACCAAGAAAAGATTCATGCTTTTTGTTTTGTTCGATTTGAAAAGACAGCCGGCTAGAAGCAAGATAATTCATGTCAAAGGGCCCGGCCTGGGAGAAGAACTCTGCAATGGCCTTGAGCGTCACTGGCTTCTGCGAGCTCTCCAACAGTTTCGATACTCTTGCCACTTCGGAAACACGGACAAGCGGGGTTTTCCTCTGAAGCATCCCGGCTCTTATGCTTCGTTCAGCAAGTTGTATAGAGAAGCAAGAAAAATGCCCTGCTGGCCGTTGTTGACCGAGATCTTCACCGGCACCGACAAAACGCCTGGAAGCCAGTCTGCTTCTTCACCATGTCGGCACGCCTGCCCGAAGCATTCCTGATCGTGCGACGCCCTGCAGGGCGATGCCCGGATTAGACCAAGAAAATCGGCAATAACTTATTCAATATGATTCAACATCTCGAAGAAGCCCAGCACAACAACGCGAAACGCACCAAAATCGCTTTCGAAAACATGCCATGCATCATCCCACACAAATTCAAAAGATACATGCCCAATGCTTTCAAACCCACTGAACGGCCTCACCGTCAGCTTCTGCCGGACATCCCAGCTGCAGAGAATCCGGAATTCCTGAGGCACGGATTTAGACTGAGCAAAGTAGGCCTTCTTGATCTTGTCAATGGCCTCCCTCCGACAAGGCTGCTGGATCCCAAATGCCCCATGGGTTTGCTATGCCGTTGAATTCTCCAGGAACACATTCACCAGAGAGCTCTTTCATCTTCTCTTTGAGGAAGCCCATCGTGATGACCTGTTCGGCCCAGCATCTGCGCGCATTGCAGGAAGCTTCTGAGAACCCTGCCGAATGTCCCTCTTTTTCACATAGTCCAAGTGGCTTCTCAAGCTCTTGTGGGTCGAAACGTTGATCTCCCCAAAGTTTTGTCCAACCCCCAACACGTCAGCCATTGCCACCGAAAGCAACGGTGGCCTCACTGCCAGAAAAACCGGGCGCCTCACTGCCAAAATCCCTTGGAGCCACCACGGCGTATGGACCTACAGTTCCGCCATGCAAACCAAAACAGGAAATACTAAGAATTCAGAAGCTCAGCATGTCGTATCTGGTTTCTGTTTTGAGACCCTCCTGTTGGGTTTTCGCACCAAAAATGAAGCCTTTGATGCTATCACCAAACATGGTCGCAAAAACAGCCCCAACCCCACTCAAACATTTGATGTCCGCCATCTCTTCGATTTGCATAGCTGAGGAATGCTGAGGATCCCTACCGCTAAACATCGGACCAACACATCCATGGCTGAAGGAAGCCGCGGGCAATGCTGCAGAGTGACTGTGCCCAAATTTCCGAAACACACTTGCCGAAACTTTGTGCGCCAAGACTTCAAGGCAAAAAACATTCCATCAAGGAGGCTAAATCCATGTTGTGCCTGAAACATTGAAGCATTCTGAAGCTTTCTGAGCCCAATTCCAATTTCCATTTCCTCATCTATCGCACTGCCGCGCATCCCCGCTAAAGAACCACCAAAGCGCCGAAAGCAGCCAAAGTCACACAACTGCTCATATGACAAGGAAAAATTAAAAACCACCTTCAGCACATGTAAGTTAACATTTTATGGGTCTATGGCAGCAACACACTTTCTTCTTTGTACACGCCGTGGTGAGGCTTGTCAAAGTGTTCGGGCCAAAGAGAATTGCGTAAGGCCGGGCAGGCCTGCTTACCACGAAGCCTCCATTTATCTCAAGCACCTCGAATGTGGCTACCCTGAGTCTCCAAAACTAGTAAATTTACAAATTTAGTAAATTTACTAAAAGTGAAGAATTTACGTAAATCCCCACATCACTGTGTGGGGTTCTTGTTTTTCGCTTGGATCCCGCCGGGGCACCGCTCTTTCGCCTCCTCCGCCGCCTCCTCACTCACTCACTCACTCACTCACTCTCACTCACTCACTCTCACTCACTCTTTCTTCACTACACCACTTATCACATCTCACTCAGCATTCACCACTCTTCACTACACTACTGATCACCTCTCACTCATCCTTCACCACTCTTCAGTACACCACTTATCACATCTCACTCATCATTCACCACTCTTCACTACACTACTCATCACATCTCACTCATCATTCACCACTCTTCACTACACCACTTATCGCGTGGCAGGCAGGCGCAGTACAGGGAGCTTCCTGGCTGCCTTTTGCGTGGCAAGCGCAGTACACAGAGCCTGGAGGAGCTGCGGCGCGCGTGGGCGCCGCTGGCCCGCGGCTGGCTGTCGTGTGGCAGGTGCAGTACGGAGAGCTTCCTGGCCGCCTTTGGCGTGGCAGGCGCTTTCGTGTGGCAGGCGCAGTACACAGAGCCTCCTGGAAGAGCTGCCGCGCGCGTGGGCCCCGCTGGCCCGCGGCTGGCTGTCGTGTGGCAGGTGCAGTACACAGAGCCTCCTGGGCGCCGCTGGCCCGCCTGGCGTGTGGCAGGTGCAGTACGGAGAGCTTCCTGGCTGCCTTTGGCGTGGCAGGCGCAGTACACAGAGCTTCCTGGCTGCCTTTGGCTTGGCAGGCGCAGTACACAGAGCCTCCTGGAGGAGCTGCGGCGCGCGTGGGGGCCGCTGGCCCGCGGCTGGCTTTCGCATGGCAGGTGCAGTACAGAGAGCTTCCTGGCTGCCTTTCGCGTGGCAGGCGCAGCAGAGCCTCCTGGAGGAGCTGCGCGCGGCTGGCCCGCGGCTGGCTTTCGCGTGGCAGGCAGTACAGAGAGCTTCCTGGCTGCCTTTGGCGTGGCAGGCGCAGTACACAGAGCCTCCTGGAGGAGCTGCGGCGCGCGTGGGCGCCGCTGGCCCGCGGCTGGCTTTCGCTTGGCAGGCGCAGTATACAGAAAGCCTCCCTGCCTTTTGCGTGGCATGCGCAGTACACAGAGCCTCGTGGAGGAGCTGCGGCGCGCGTGGGCTGTGGTTTGCAATCTAGGTTTTTCACTTGGCTCCCGCCGCTCCTGCTCCCGCCTCCGCCGCCGTAGACTTATCATCACCACTCATCACAGACCCACTTATCACATCAAAACTTCTCATCACAAAACTCATCACAACTCATCACACCTTATCACATACCAAGTCATCACAGCTCCACTTCTCACACCTCACTCATCACAGCTCCACTGCTAATCACAACTCATCACAGCTCCACTTCTCACAGGTCCACTTCTCATCACAACGCATCGCAACTTATCACATCCCAACCCATCACAGCTCCACTTCTCACACCTCACTCATCACAGCTCCACTACTCATCACAACTCATCACAGCTCCACTTCTGACAGGTCCACTTCTCATCACAACTCATCACAACTTATCACATTCCAACTCATCACAGCTTCACTTCTGACAGGTCCACTTCTCATCACAACTCATCACAACTTATCACATCCCAACTCATCACAGCTCCACTTCTGACAGGTCCACTTCTCATCACAACTCATCACAACTTATCACAACCCAACTCATGACAGTTCCACTTCTCACACCTCACTTCTCACACCTCACTTATCACATCACAACTTCTTATCACAACTTATCACATCCCAACTCATCACAGCTCCACTTCTCACAACCCTTCTCACACCTCACTTATCACATCCGAACTCATCACAGCTCCACTTCTCACACCTGACATCACAAGTCCACTTCTCACACCTCACTTCTCACACCTCCCCGAAGTTTACATTAACCTTAGATACATAAAGGCTTGACATGTGGGGTTATCCGGTCCTTTTATTTTTTTGGCTAATTTCCTTGATGTTAGTAAATTTGGTGAAAAATGAAAAGTGCATCAAAAGTGCATGTTTTTTTTCGAGCATTTGTCAAAAGTGCATCAAAAGTGCATCGAAAGTGCATCAAAAGTGCAAAAGTGCAAAAGTGCATTTAATTACGTTAGTAAAATTTACTAACGTAAGTGAATTCTTAGTATCATTAGTAAAAATTTACGTACATCCACGTTAGTAAATCCCAAATTTTACGTAATTTCTTTGGCACCTAAATTTACTAGTTTTGGGGACTCAGGGTAGGCCCACTCCGGGCATCGACAGCAATTCTCTTCCGGACGCGCTCCCATTATAAGCACCTCAGCCTGTCATGGAAACAAGCAAAAGGCACTCAAAATCCGAACTTCAGGGCGCTGAAGTGCTCGCAAAAATTGGAGGCCTGGGCTTGAAAGTGGTCGATGAGGGAGCAGCTCGACCTGAGCCAAGATATTGCCTACCTAGCAACGAACCTTTTCCGGTCCCAACTTATTACTGCTGAAGTCTCTCAAGCGTGCTGACCTTAGCTTCACTGGTTGTAGCTTGAGAAGAGGAGGGTCTTCCTACGCCTTTGCAAATGGCGAGCATTTTGATTCAGTTCACTTGAAGAGTGGGCCAAGACATTGGCAGCAAGAGCAGCCAAACGGGAGTCATGCAAGGCCACACTCTCAAGGCCTGGTTTTGAAGTTTTGTGGCGGTAACACTATAAAACATTTTACCACTGCGCTCATTGGCTTGGATTTGCGAAACTTTGAAATTGGTAATCTCGCCTGGTAACAAAAGGCGGCAAAACCCAAAAAGGATCAGGAATCCTTTGCTCAATGGCCGGCACTGCATTGCGGCCCGAACCAAAAACCTAATGGCCCAGGACCCAAACGAATCAAGCGCGGGCTGGTCTGTGGCAACACCCCGCCCTTCGCAACGAGCCTCCGACCTGGCCACCCAATCTTTCGTGGGCTGCCCTCTTTTCATTGTTGCGCCGACCCCTAAGGGTATAAAATACACTTATCTTCCGGGCCTCCTTCTTCATCTCATGGCATTCGCCGGTCTCGGATCTTTTTTGCGGCTTATCCTTGTCGCCTTTCCCTTCTTTGCGCTTTGCTTCTCTTTTTGGCCTTTTTCCTTTCAACGGTCATCGCTTTAATTAGGCGAGCTCCCTTCTCGTCGATGCTTCCGAGGAGCTACAGGCATGCCTTAGTTCGGGCTCACCTTTGTCACCCTCCTGCTGGTCTTTCCCATGGAGCGCTTAATTTCTTTTATTCTTTCAGCTCCTTTTCGAAACGGGGCCTTTGTCTCAGCTCCTGGTTTCTTCTTCTTATCTTTGGCCCTTGGTTCGGCTTTTGGTTCAAGCATTCCTTCGTGCCGGGGGGGCCCACAGCAATCCAGCTTTCCCTTGCTCAACGTTGAGTTCTTCAAGATGCGTCATGAACTTTTTTGCTCCCCGGCCAGAGGCCTCGGGGGCTTCTCCGTCGGCGAGCTCTTCCTCTTTCCCACTGTCCTACGTGTTGTCTGGCTGCGCCACACTCTGTGCTTTTTCCTTCGCGCAGGTGGCATGATCCATCCATTGTCGTGACGCGTCCCATCTTGGTTGTTACCCTCTCCCGGAACAGGGCGTGCTCACGTAGTCACCTTTTGTGAACCGTCCCAGGGCTCCGAGGCCGTATAATTATACACTTCACCCGGATCAGGACGCTGCCTTGTTTATTGGTCAGCACCCTAACAATTCAATCAATGATACGGCGCTCAGTGAGCCAACCTCCCAGGCATTTTGAACTTGCTACCTGGCGAGGCTTGCAAGTTGAGCCATTGCTACAGCAGCATACACTCAAGCAATGCTCTTGTATTGAACCCAGAGCACTACATATTATATATATATATATGATTTATCTATTTATGTTTATCTAGTTATTTATCTATTTATTTATTCATTTAATGCGTACACGTCATAAATGTATATACACAAACACGCGCATCTACGCGCATATACACATGATTACACAGTCTATATGTATGCGGTGTACATATATAATAGAGAGAGAGAGAGATTAGATAGAAAATCTAGCGGATAGGATACCGTAGTAACCAATTGCTGTGGCCCAGGAAGCTTTGCGGATAGGTTTGCTGTAAATTAAGGATCCGACTTCTTTGACCCGATCTTGGTTGATGTCTCTGGCAAGCTGTTTCACCTGTGACTGGCTGTGTTCCCAGTCGCTCCAAACGACGCGACGCTTCTTTTTGGGACTGGGTGAACAACGCGAACTGGCATGTCTCGCATGTTGTATACAATCTGGCCTGCATTCCAACTTTGAGTTGACCTCTGGAAAAGATACACAGCAAGGCCAAGCCATGACTGCCTGGAATGCCTTGCTTGCGTCAATTTGCCATACTTTGACATGCTCAAGCTGAGCAAGATGCCTGCTGATGGTGATAGTCCAGACTTTAGGGATGCAATCTCCAGCATTTCGGTCGTGAGCTTTTCTTCAAGCTCTCTGTTAGCTTTTTCAGTGGAGGCCACCTATGCAGTTGACTCGTCAGGGTTTGCGAAGCTCAGAAGTAAAGTCCCAAATACTGGACTGGAGAAATAGAAACATGTACGCACAAAGGATTGTAAAGCAAAGATAAGAAGAGCAAAGTCGTCGACAGCCCGATTGACTTGATACTTGCCGCGAAGAAATCTTTGGAAGCCGAGGGCTCATCCTGATACTGATAGAATATGATATAGGAAGAGCATCAGCGAGTCTTCAGGAGTTTTAAGTTGAGAGGGGCTTGTTGCCAGCGCTGGAAAGTAGGCTTTCCTCATATTCTCGTATCCTTTGGGAAATGCTCATAATCAAATAGGATGTTTAAAAGGAGGAGGCCCGACCCAGAGAAAAACACATATTCAGCTGTAAAATGCACTCCTTTAGAACAATGGTAGTCATTATATAGGTTCAAAATGTGGTAAATTCCAAGAAGAAACTCCACACTAGAAGAGAAAACAGGGTATATCTCCACTTTGAAGCATTAGGTGGAACAGAATATGTATGTAACAATAAATGCAAAATTACAGGTCATGACCTCAGGTCATGTACTTCCCAAAAACAATAGTTAACAGTCTTTATGTGTGGCAAACATCATGAAAAACGGAAATATGTTGTTTTGAGACCTTGGGATACGCTACTGTCATATTTCCATATGAGTGTGGTACAATACCACATTCTTTTGAAAAAAATGAATCGTCTTTGAAACACAACCTTATATTATGCATCTACAAGGCCTAGTTCAGCTAGAAAATTAAGGAAACTCCCGGTTTAAGCTGCGCAGTCAGCAGTTGACCAAAGAAAATGCAAGACATTGAGCTAAAGGCAAAATTGTAAACAATATCAGGCAATGCAGTTTTTTCACTTGCTTTCGCTGCCCAAAGAGAAGTATATATCTGTATATAGTCTATTAAGTTGTATGCCTGCGCTACATTCCCAGCAAACAATGCTTTGAAGGAATGAAGTTCATCAAAGAAATGCAGTTTTCCTTACAAAGCATCCACTGCAACAAAAAAAGGTGTCATTTACAAGCTGGTGGTTGCTTTTGAGCTAGTCATTTTTTTTCGGGAATGGTTAACTCTTTTTGTGAAGGTGGGATTGTTTAAAAAAAATGCGTTATCTACGATGTGTGTTGTGTTCTAAAGTACAGTATTCCTGCCTTCTTCCTTTAGCATGGTAACATTCCTTCAGGCAGATGCTGTCTTCTTCAGAGATTGAATACTTAAACTTATCTTAACTTAAAGTTGCAATTGTATTTAAACAGCTGATACAGTTTAAACAACAGAAACAATATTGTGTCAAAATATGCAGTGTGTCCTTAAAAGATGTAACATTCCTCTCAAAGAAGCTCAGCTGGCCTTTATTTTTGAAAGCAGCACCATTTCTAAAAAATATGTAACGCTCCTTTCAAAGAACTCCAGCTGCGCTCTACTGGGACAGGAACACCATTTGTTTGAAGGAACGGTTTCCTTCACCAAAAACATAATGTTACATCCCCAAACGCTTTACATCACACCTGAAAAGGAATATTGCACATCCCCAAGGAATACTGCGCATGTTTAGCATACAGAATCTTTTTAAATAACTATATGCTTGGCAAGGATGCCTTGGGAGCAAAATGAATCACACTGATTTGGTTTGGGTTAATCTGGATTAATCTGGATTAATCCTACAGAATCAAAAACCCAAAGAAACAAAAAAAACAAAGAAACAAAAAAACGTTTTCCAGACTAGTCTGAACATGCCTAGGTCCAAGTAGTCCACAAAACATTGTTTTTTGTTTTTTTCCCACATGCGTAGCAATGGTTCCCGTTTCACTCTGGGGGTCTGGGGGTTGAGGGTGTGGTCGCTCGACGTTGCGCAACTGCGTGAATCCACACTCTACACTCCAGACTTTACACTCTTTACTCTGCGCGCTCTACACTCCACACTTTACACTTTACACTCTACAATTTAGACTCGACACTGTACGCTCTACACTTTACGCTGTACACTCCACTTTACACTCCGCACTTTGCACTTTAGACTCCACACTTTACACTCAACACTTCACACTCCACCCTTTACACTTTACACTCCAAACTCCCCACTCTACACTGTACCCTTTACACTCCAGACTTTACACTCCACACTTTACAGTCTACACTTTACACTCCACAGTCTGCACTCCAGACTTACACTCCAGACTTTACACTTTACACTTTACACTCCACAGTCGACACTCCACACTTTACACTCTACACTTTACACTCCACACTCTGCACTTCCAGACTTTACACTCCACACTTTACACTTTACACTCCACACTCTGCACTCCACACTTTACACTTTGCGCTGCACACACTACACTCTACACTCTACACTTGACACTTTACACTTTACACTCTACAATTTACACTCTACACTGTACGCTCTACACTTTACGCTGTACACTCCACACTCCACACTTTACACTCCGCACTTTGCACTTTACACACTACACTTTACACTTTCCTTTCTTGACTTTGCACCACACACTCTACACTGCACACTCCACACTCCAGACTTTACACACTACTCTTTACACTCTACACTCTACACTTTACACTCCACACTCCACACTTTACACTTTACACTCTACACTTTGCGCTCCACACTTTACACTTCAGACTTTAGACTTTACACTTTACACTCCACACTTTACACTCCACACTTCACATTTTACACTCTACACTCTACACTTTTCATTGCCCACTCTACACTCTACACTTCACACTCCACACTATACACTTTACACTCTACACCTTACACTCCACACTTTACACTTAAGACTTTGCACTCTGCACTTTCCACTTTACACTCCACACTTTTCACTTTACACTCTACACGACTTTACATTTTACACTTTCCACTCCACACTCTGCACTCCGCACTCTGTACTTTACACCCCACACGTTACACTCCCCACTTTACACTCTACACTTTACACTTCCCACTCCGCATTCCACAATCCCCACTTCACGCTCTACATTCCCGACTCAACACTGCACTTTCTTCGCACTCCACGCTTTGCGCCCCACCCCCTTCCACATTCCACAGTGTCTACAGCGCACTGGTTCGGTAACAGGCGAAAAATGCACAAGACTGTTCAAATAACTTTTCACAAGACTGTTTTACGTGACTGCATTCGGGTTCGTGGGCTGCATCTTGTTTTTTTCCCCACATCTTTGTGTGGGGTTCTTGTTTTTGGCTGTGCACTCCCGCCTGCCTCCATCTGCTCCACCTCCTCCTCCCGCCGCCCGCCTCCTCACACACAACTTGCACACACACACACACACAACTGCTTTGTGTGGCAGGCGTGGCGCTTGGCGACATCGACCTGCGTTATGCGTGGCAGGCGTGCAACTTGGCGACATCGATGGGCATTCTGCATGGCAGGCGTGGCACTTGGCGACATCGACGTGCTTTCTGCATGGCAGGCGTGGCACGCCGGCAACAAGCCTTTCTGTTTAAGTTTGAGGATAAGACTGGGAATGGGTAGCCGCGGTATCAGAAAGTTCTCCTTGGAGCTTGGGGGAAGTGATTGGGGTGACTTTGAGAATCTGAAAGCCTTTTGAGTGATTGAGGGAAAGAATGGGAAAGAGATATCGCGATATCGCCAGCATTCACCAGCCTTGTCTTTCAGCTGTTCGTTCTCACGGAGGAAATCATCCACGTCTGCGTCAAACTGAGCGGCTAGTGCTTGCTTCCTGCTCTTGCGACAGGCTCTGGCAAAGACTGGACCACTCATCCACATATTAAAAACGGGACCCCAAGCCCATGTCAATCTCCAGAGCATTTCAGAACTTCAAAAATCTGCAGGATTTTGGCCAAAGAGAGCACAACAGCCGGCAACCCGTGATTGCTCCCAAGGATGGCTGGACTAAGGTACAGGGACCCGACAAAGTCATGCCTAAGTCACTCCTTTCGCTTTCCCCGCTTGTGAACGCAACATCAAGAAGTCATGCCTAAGTCATGCCTTTGGTCTTCCCCCATTGTGAACGCAAGCGTCAAAATAGCCCTGTATTACAGGTTTTATGGCGTCTTTATGATCTGTATGTGTTTTAGGTATGTTCATCACCTATTCTCATTGAGAAAGTCAATTCTATTCCACTTGAGCAATTCTCAGCAGTTTCGAGCATGTGCAAGCCCAGGCAAGTCCAATTCCCCTTGTCCTCGAACTGGTGATGCCAGCATCGCTGCTAGTTGCACTGCTTCGATGCTTTGTTTCATTCCCTTGCGGCCACCTCCACTCGCTGCTTCCACTGGTACTCAAAGGCGAGAATTTGAACTCCAGAATTTCGCGCTCCAGTTCAGCATTCTTGCGTTTCAACTCATCCGCTCTTGGTTGAAACAATGTCAAGAGTGACATGATAGTAACGCACATGTCTGGGTCATAGATGACAACTCCACATCACAGAATGCTAAAAATCATCAAGGGTGCACAGATCTTCATCACAATTTTTGTTTAGCGTCGCTCGGCACTCTTCGAAACCTAGTTGGGCAGACTCCACCAACTCTGCCTTCGTGCTCAAAGGCTGCAGAAGCGTGAAACCCCGAATTGCAAAGAAAATTAAGAAACCATAGAACGTTTCTGATTCTATGTTTGGTGAGGGGGTTCAACACACCAAACTTGCGCTGAATTGGGAAATGCATCATATGTGAAAGTTTTGAATCGCTGAAACACCCCATACAATATCAATGCAAGGTGCCAAACTGTTTTAATGCAATAAAGGTTTCATAATTTCCCATGTTTTACATGTTCTTTTAGGAGTGAATCTCACCCCCTTTTCTGCTCACCCCCGAACTGTTCAGTGAATATCTGCCGTTCTCCGTTCTACCAAGTGGTTTTTGCTAGGATCGCTTTGCAAACTATGGTTTTCTAATTCCTGCATGGGCGTGCAACTTTAAAGTGTTGGTCATGTTCCGACCGTGAAGATGCAAATACTGTACAAGAATCAAACAGGCTTCTCACACGATAAAGCATCTAGCATCATCTAGCATCTGACTGCGGCACACACATGTGAATTCTAGTATCCTCTCCTCAATGAAACGGGTCGCAAGTTGCTAGGCAACCACTGCAATATGTTGATGGGGTGCAACTGCCAACCTTTGCTGCAGGCCCTTGCTTTGTTGCTTGTTAACCTACCAAACAGTGTTGCAAGATAGAAAGCCTGCGGTGAGTCCCAATTCCATTCTGAAGATTGTTGTGGAGTGCTGCTTTTGGGAGTTCACTTTGTGAAATTGAGAAATGCATCTGGAAGATTTTGCTTCCGACCACATTCTGTGCTTGTGGTCTTGCTGAGCTTTTGAAGAACCTTATCAATTCTGGATGCTTTTGCCATGTGCCATATTGCCAGCCATTTTTGGAGCCACCCCTGCGTCTATTCCCATCTTGATGATGGATCATGCACGCTCAAAACACAAGGTGTGAGACCGGTCCACGTACTTCATCTTTCTTCTATGTTTCCAGCTACAAGTGTGTTTGACAAGAAGTCAATTATTTGCAAGAGTACGGCATCCAATCAGGACTTGTCTTCCACTGAGGTTTGTGCACTTCAGCATATTATAAAGAACAGATACAGGCTCATACAGCCATGTACAGTCATCATGCCAAAGACCTATACCATCCTACTATACCATCACCAGTCTACACCAAGAAGTCCCTGACCTTGTGTTCTATTCGCTGCGCCCAACAAAAATGAACGCCTTTATAATATTTTATAATTATATATATAGAGCTTGAAGCAGAACTGCCTTGAGTTCAGCGATGATCTTCTTCTCAGACATTTGCTTTGTGCCTGTGCATGCCGCTACTTGAAGGCATCTGGTAGCACGTGGCAACGGACTTTGGGGAAGGAAGCGGCTGCGAATCCAGGATACACCCTGCCTCTAGTCCCAGCAGTGGTTGGAGCATCGGCGTCATCAGCACACAGCTGAAGCCAGCTTCCGTTCCCAAAATAACAACTATAAATAGCCTATGTACGCATGCAGTAACTATGTTTACGCATGCAGTAACTATGTTTCTGCCTGCGCCATACGATGTGGTGTGGAGTTTTGCCATTGCTTCAAGCCAGTCGGCCATTGAACATTCTGTGCATGTGAATGTCACTAGCCCCAGCGTGTCCACTCATCTGTCTCATGTTGAGGCGCTTTGCTCGTCATTGGCAATCTTCCTGCGCAGACCCGCTCACCCTCGCCAACCCAAGCATCGGGGAGCGGAACATGCTGATGGTACGCAAGAACCACACATGCAAGGCACATTTTCCACGTTGCAAGTCTCCAACAAGAGGAACTTTTCCATTTCAATTTTTCCTTGTTCAGTGAAACATGTAACCGGCTACAGCTTCTGCATGCTTCTGCAGACTGGGGACTCAGAGGTGTTCAGTGGCCATGCCAAATTGGTATCACAAGAGCGCTTCTTCAATGAAAGACCTGCCCCCAGTGGGGGAATCCTGGCAGAAAAGGGTACATTCACTATCATTGACTAAACTAGCTGCGCCGGAAGTTACAAATGGCTACTGCATGCTACTGCATGCTACTGCATATACTACTGCGAATGCCCCAGAATTCGTCATGTCTCCGCGTTTTCGCTTTATGTGTCCCTGACATTGTAGTCCTTGCTGCAGTGGCTGCGATTTTGAAAGTGTTGTCTTGTTCCGTGCTTCCATTTGCTCCATGAGACTTGAATCCGAATATGTTCCTGTGAACGGAGCATCACAAGAAAGTACTTTAAATTTGACAAATCTCCTCGTGACAACTTTTGTGCTTTGAGTCAGCCTCGTACGGAAAGTGTTCCACCTGGCCATATATGCGCCATGCCATTAGCCACATGATTGCCACCAGCATCAGCTCAGCTCAAGAGCAGAACTCAAAGTGGCAGTGTGCAACTTGCCAGAGTGTCACATCGAACTATGTCGTCACCACCTTTGGCAGATCCGCCTCTTCAAAACAAAATGTCAAAACAGGTGAAAACAAGACGAAATCGCAAACTGCCTTCTCTTTACATCCTTGTCCAAAAATTTGTCGGATGCAGTTCATGTGGATTATTGTGGATTCATGTTCATCAACCTTTGCAAAAATACATGAGACATACATGTGGGTATCAATGATATCGTATGATTGTGATCAGTGGACTTCTTTAACGACGGATGGCCTGACAGCCGCCAGGCCCCTCGGACCAAGCTATTGGCATAGAAACCACCACAAGTCGCTCCTGGGGTTCGAAAAGCCGAAATTCTCGAAACTCGGGACACCGTGCCATGACGGCCATGACGCCTGTCAGACCATTTGATTGGATAATACTGGGCAAGAAAAGGGATCGCTTGGAATGATACCATACTGTGTACATGTCCCTTCAGTTCGACATTTGCCTGCTCTTATGCACGTACGAGGTACACATATTTGTACAAGCGAAGTCCTTTCAATGCCGATTTGTGAGACGGCTGGGGTTGCAGGCGGAAAGGTCGCAGGCGGAAACGCATGTTACCGGAAAACATTTTCACATTGTCAACTCCAGGATTTCGCCGTCTTGAAATATGTTGAGATAAGTAGAGCAAGTCAGCCCCAACCTATGGTGTCAATTTGCCATTGCCAATTTTTGAACTGCCCTTGTTCAAAGCCCTGGCAGTATCCTCTGGTTTTCACATTGCCGCGATCGATCGATTCATTTTTGGTGTTGAAGGCCTTTTTCCTCCGTGTTGTCCAAGTCGCGTTTAAAAAGTAACAAGATTGGCACGCCAAACCAGTTTCAATCAGATACAACCACTTCTATCATTTACAATATGCAAGTGTGGAACATGTTTGTTTGAAGACACGTTCGTGTTGCAATTTCTGTGATGTTCGCTTGTTATGCCTTCATTGCCTGTGTGTATATAGATAGCATGTACACAATACAAATAACTACATTGCGACGATACTGTCATTATACCTTTACACATATGACTATGATATATAAACAATTCTAAATATATCCTCAAATATCCTTAAGGATCCTTATGCAAACAAAAATATAACCGCCTATACCAGTAGTACCGCACAAGGCGGTGGCGGAAGTTTCAGACATAGGAAACCTATAGGAGAGGTTTGTTGTTGTGATGCACGGATGTCAGACCGAACCCACTGATGGACCGAAAGGTCGTTGAGGCTCTGAGTTTCTCTCTCTCTCTCTCTTTTTCTGTATATCTATCCATCTGTCGATATATCTATCTGTCTATCTGTCTAACTATCTATTTATCAATCTTTCTATCTATCTGACTATCTCTCCATCTCTCCATCTGTCTATCTGACTATCTGTCTACCTACCTACATACCTATCTACCTATCCATCTATCCATCGATCTTTCTATCTGAACATCTGTCTTTCTATCTATCTCAACACCTGTCTCTCTATCTATCTATCTATCTATCTGTCTGTCTGTCTGTCTGTCTGTCTAACTATCTATCCATCTATCTATGTATCTATGTAACTATCTTGGTTCTATCTACCTGACTATCTGTCTATCTGACTATCTGACCATCTATCTACGTATCCACTTATCTATCTATCTGTCTGTCTGTCTGTCTCTGTCTGTCTATGTATCTACCTATTCTCTTTCTATCTGACTATCTATCGATACTATCTATACTATCTGACTATCTGTCTATCTCACTATCTGACAGTCTATCTATCGATGTATCAATCGATCAGTCAATAAATCTATCTATCTGTCTATCTTTCTGTCTTTCTTTCTACCTATCAACCTATCTATCTGCCTATCTATCTATGTATCCATCTGTCTGTCTGTCTAATTCTGTCTATCTATCTACCTACCTATCTATCTTTATCTGTCTGTCATTATCTATCTATCTATCTATCTAGCTAGCTAGCTAGCTAGCTAGCTATTTCTCTGAAACAAAGCAAGCATGCGAGACTTTTTCAAAAAATGAAAGTTGCCAAGTCCAAAGCGAACCAACTCTGCGAGACTTCGCCCAGTTTGAAGGTGACAACATCAAAAACGAAGCAATTCTGCCAGACTTCCTTCAAAACTGGCAAGTTAATTAAGTGCAGAGCTGACGGCCTCGTACCGATGCGTCTTGCGATTTTTCCATCTCGTCTCATGGCCATGAAAAGTGAATCCAGGTCCCAAAATGCAACCCCTCTCAGGAAATCAGCGCCCAGACCTCCGAAATCCTCCGAATATCTCTGATGGAGATGTCTCTTGCACTGAAATGCATCTTTTCAGATCCTCTTCCAACGTCCCACGCCCGCCATCGTCTTTGAAACTGTTACAAGAACCCACAGGTTTAGCTCACTTTCGTAAAGGTGCAAAATCCATAGCGCCTGCCACACAAAAGGACTCGGAGACCGCCCGCTTTTGAGCTTCGCGCATATCTTCGCGCCACAGCGGCAGCGGCAGCGTGCACCTTTTCTGCATCTCAATTCTCAACGTCCACAAGTGCTCCGAACCCTTAAGTGGGTGACACTTTTGACTTCCAAATGTGCTTGGCGCCACAACGGCGTTTTTGTTTCAACCTCTCAACTGCCAAAA